TATATAAAATAGGTTATGTAAACTACGTGTGATTTCTGTTGAAAGGAAAGCAGGATTGTCAGCTGAGTAAAGAAATCGAAGGCCTGACTGGCATGACAGGAAACCACAAGTCATAGCTGTACCAATCTCCATTACATGCTGTGTTTAATCATTCCTGTCATCGGATCACAGAACCAAGCCTGTTAGATTGCCCAGCTGTCACAAATTAATTACATTTAACATAAAATGCCTGTGTGATAGCCTGCATATTACATATGATCTAGTCACAGGACACAGCTAAACAAAGAGTTCAGTTTTGTAACGTCACACTGTGCACATTGGGAGTACACAAAGTCCGATTACCTAAAGTGGACCTATATAGTATGAACTATTACTCTGGGGTGCAATGTAGGACCCAGTGTTAGAAAGTTGTGTCTCCGTCAGAGGTCATGGGTCTTACAGCAGGACAATGACCCAAAGCACACATCAAAAAGCACCCAGAAATGGTTTCAGACAAAGCGCTGGAAAGTACTGGACTGGCCAGCAATGAGTCCAGATCTGAAGCAGTTGGGAAAAGGAACCCTTCCAACCTGAGAGACCTGGAGCAGTTGGTGAAAGAAGAGTGGTCCAAAATTCCTGTAGAGAGGTGTAAGAAACTCATTGAAGGTTACAGGAAGCCATTGATTTCAGTTATTCTTTCCAAGGGCTGTGCTACCAAATATTAATTGAGGGTGCCAATAATTTTGTCCAGTCCATTTTTGGAGTTTTGCGTGGAATGTGTCAGATTTGGCTTTTTTTTCCTCCACTTTTTGTCATATCAATACAAACAAAAGAAATAAACATGAAAATGCCTAAACATTTGTAATTGCAACAATTTTCTGCACAAAGTGGCGTATTGTCTGAGAGAAATGCAGGGGTACCAATATTGTTGGCTATGACTGTATGTTTGTTTTTTATGTCCAAGTGCTTAAATCTGCATTTTTCGATATTGAAACTCATATGCCTCTTAGCTGCTTACCCCTCAATTTCATCAAGGTCTTCCTGTAGTAATTCTATAATGTTAGGTTATTGCCCTTCATATTTTAGTACCATCAGTAAACATTAAAATTGAGCTCTTTATTCCAGAGCTATTTATTGCTACCATCTGGATCCATACCTGTAACCAGTTTCTTACCATGTACATACAATGTCTTCAGTGCCAATAGCCTGTAATTTGTAAATTAAGCATACTGGTGGGGTACTGTATCAATTGCTTTAGCAAAATCCAGATAAATGACATCCACTAACATTCCTTTCTAAATTACTGCTCACTTCCTCCTATACTGTTAACAGGTTGGTCTGACAAGAACAATACTAAATGGAGCTTGTTTTCAGCACAAAAGGTACACACATTTGCAGCCCAATGGAAAAAGGCCCACAGCTTAAAGAATTAAGTTTTGCAGCTATTCATTTTGATTGCCATGTACCCCTTTGGAGAAGCAGATCTATGTGTTTGTCCCTGGGTCATATTATCTCAAGAGTGCCCTGAAATCCTTTCTACAACTTACACAAAACCAGTCTGGCCCGTGACTGTCCTGTGAGTCCAAACAAGGTGTGTGTGCAAGTCAGCACGAAAATCGAACTTAAATTATTCATCAAGCGTACCTAACCCCTCATAGAATGGCGACATTTGCTGAGACATCCCCATCCTGTTCTAAATTTCACTTACTGCAAACTCCTATTCTTCACCCAATTTGGGATTGTCCACATGTTTTCCATGATCTAAGGGGATGTCCAATCCTACTCACCCATCAGATGAGTCTATTGGGAATTCTACAGGACTTGCCGTTACCTTATGCAAAATGTACACTCCTTCATGAATTGCTATTTCACGCCCACAAGGAGATTGTCCTTCATTAAATCAGCTGTTCACCCCTTTGTATCTCATTGAAACTCCTAAATGATGCACTACCTTTTTTTTTTTTTAAATATGCGATTGGACTGGGCAGATTAGGGTACGGTAGATTACATTGGACAGATTGGATTGAATAGATTTGTTTAGAATGGGCAGATTGGATGGATTAGATTGGATAGATTACATTGGATAGATTGATTCGATTGGACAGGGCAGATTAGATTAGGGTACGGTAGAGTACTTTGGACAGATTGGATTGAATAGAGTAGTTTGGAATGGGCAGATTGGATGGATTAGATTGGATAGATTGATTTGATTGGATGGAATATATTAGATTGGCTCTTTATGGAAAAGGGGTAGACAGCAGTTATAAAAGGGGCACACAATACCCAGGTCATTTGAGTGATGCTTGATTGGCATTATGAGGCTATTGTGCCATAAATCATTTGCCTACACTATTACAACAGCAACCGCCTTAAGCAAACCTGCGCTACTATGTTTATGGTTTAAATAGTAAATGGTAAATGGTAAGCAGCACTGGATAAAACAAAAAAGGGTGAGGGTGCAGGTTTACCTTAATTGGCAACATAAAACTGGCTGGAGAATTGGATTCATGCCACTTAAACCAAAATTACAACTACAATCTTGTCACACCACATCACATATTTTTCCAGACTTCAGCCATCGAGTTCTGTTATTCCCTGGCCATTTAGCCTCCTTTTCTGTTCTTCAAACCTGGTCGGTTGCTGTAGCTCACCCTCTTAAAGGTTCTATGTGTTGTGCACTTGCAGATGCCCTCCTTCACCTTACTGGTGTGGACAGTGGTCACAGATTTCTGTCTAGACTCGCTGGCTTTTTGCATTAACAAGCAGATGTAGCCAAGGAGAAGGCTATGGACATCAAGTACAATTACGGTACACAAATGAAGTTTAATTAACTATAAACCCCAATTGTATTATTTATAAAACCAGTTTAAAATGCAGAAATATAATAGGAGAAACACCAACACACAAAAATAAGGAAAGTAGTCCAGTTTATTTTAGACAGGCGCGCACACAGCTCTTTCACAAAAAGTTGATTCTGATAAATCAGAGAATGGATCAGATAAAAATCACTAATAAAATAAGGACGGCACTTTCAAAATGACCTGTATGAGTTACACAAACATACTGTTCAGACTCAAAGCACATTTGCAATCAAAATGCAATCATTTCATTCATAAACCAAAAACACACAATCTAGCATAGATCCTGAACAATGCAAGCATGCTCAGTGCTAAAAATACTGAACTCTCTCACTTGCATAATGTTCACCATTTTGTTATTCAAAACAGCGCAGACATCATTTCCAAGGAAATGAAGATGAATAGTACTGATGCATTGCAAATAACCATTACAAAACACATTTCCTTACTAGATATAAACAGCAAACAAAGTTGACCAACTCAAGTGCTCCTGTAAAAGTGGGGCTGACGTATAAAGGCTTCGCCAGTGTATAGCTTGGTGCATGCCTTTCGCATAGCTTTACAGCCGCAAGGTAGTACCAAAAAGGAGCATAGGGCATTTTATGCTGCTCTAGCAGCTGTAATACCACACATCTGCGAGATATATGCTGGGAGAAGTCTTTATACATCAGCCCCATAGTGTAGGTTCAGCCAAAAAAAAAAAAGAAAGACTTTATGGAGTACTGTATAGGGATGGAGAACAATCGGAAGCAGTCACATATTACTTCTATCCAGGGCTTCATTAAAGGTTTCCCCTTACTGTCCTGGTAACAGTTTAACCAACTGCAGCACATTTTTCCAGTAGATTAGAGGAATACATGAGCTTAAGTCAGCATTTTTTTGCCTAGCTTGTAAAACTGCCATCATCATGAAAGCAAGAGTAGAACGCTCTCTAACAGAGCCACAGATAGCAGTAAAAACCTAACAGGGGTTCTGATCCTTCCCCACTATCTAAAACAAAGTTTTGGCTTGACATGTACTTCACTTCGTGCTCACATGAGGAAGGATGTTCACCAAGTGCCGACAGCTTAATCCATTGCAAGCTCCGGCTCTATGGACTATTGGGCCTCATAAACACTAACCACAACAGGCTCTTGTTGCAGCGAAACCTGCCATGTGCTTATATACAGCCAATCACCCATGGTCATCTGTTCAAACCCCTTTAACAGTTTGCAAGTTGTCAGTGAATTACATTGAAGGCCTCTGTTGCGATCCTGTAGGTCCTGATCAGAAGATGGTTCTAAAAATATGCTTCATAAATAAAAAAAAATTGTACTATTAATGGTTGCCAAAAATCCACAATATATTCACTCCAGATAATCCAAGGTTGACTCTCCTAGAGGAGTTTGGGGGGGGAAAAAAGAAAACTGTGAAAATAGACTAGTTAAACCACTACATGATATTTAGTACAACAAAAACGCAAAAACCTTGTTATACTCACATTATAGAACTTATTTAAATGTAATGGGAGAATGGATCAAAACTCCAGTTTTGATCAATTCCCCTCAATGTTTTCTATCTATATTTTGACCATGATGCGTTTGAGATGCAGACATGGATGCCCAGTCATCACTTGGTACACTAGCTAATGCCTTATGTGCTTTGCTGAAACCTTCAGACAGAAGCAACTAAGGGGCCCAATTATAACAGAGAACCGATACTGCACCTTCATTTTACACAGGCCACGAAGTGACACCTGCAGTGCCCTCCGCATAATTCTATGGATTCCTAAATCAAGCGAAGTGCTAAACACAAAAAATGGAAATGCATGCAGAGGGTGTCCTCTTTATCTTTGCCTCTTCTCCGAGCTAGGTGATTCTTACTGCTGCAGTGTGGCACTGACGAGAGGACGCAAGAAAAACTCCCTGCACTAGGTACTCTATGAATAAACGCGCTGTGATGACAGTATTGGTCTTCTGGGTTAAAGCTGAACTCCAACTGAACTTTGCGGGTGCGCGCAATTTTAAAAGGTTGACATGTTTGGTGTCTATTTATCCGACGTGACCCTGACTTTTATATTTTACCAAAAAACTGGGTAATAAATGTTTCCTAACATAATGTAAAAAAAACAGGAAGGGGGTCTAAACACCTGGTCTTGAAGTGGTTAAAACAATCACCAATTAGAGCTGTATAGCTGTGCAAATACATAGACTGTAGTGTGGCTACACTTACCCAAGCATTCCTGATTCTTTGGTCTTTATTATGTACAGGAACATTAGTAACGTATGATATAAATTGTTCCTTCCCTTAAAACACAAAAGAAAATGCCTTTATATAATGCAGCCATAGATAAGTTTCATGTCATAAGCTGCAGCAAGATTTTGTGCAAAATGTGGACTTGCAAGTCAGCTAGCAGAGTAAATTTGTAGATAGAATTTTGGGACAGATACAGTGCGAAAAAAATAAAATAAATAAATACACTTAATAAACCAAAGATGTTTCACTGAGTACATGTGCAAACTGCGGAACATTCAATTAAGGAAGCGATTTCTACGACATGTTCTATACTGGACATGTTCTGGTTGTATTACGTCCTACCATCTGTGGCATATAGCTCAGGTTACAGATATATGCAATATCTACAACAGGCAATAGAGGCAGCAAGTTAAAATGGAATTATCTACAGGGACTTCTGCGCTCGATTAATCTAAGAAAAATAGGATTTTTGTACTCACCGTAAAACCCTTTTCTCTCCGTTCATTGAAGGACACAGGGCAAGAACTGGAAATGTTCGTCCCCCACCGCGAAGCGCAGAAATCGCTGATGAGATGCGCAAATAGGCACATGAAGGTAAGCGTCCTTGATGTCGATAGAGGCCAACAGGTCCCCCGGGCGAAGGTACGTCACTACAGATCGAATCGATTCCATGCGGAAGCGACGGACCCGCACAAAGGTGTTTAGGCGCTTGAGGTCCAGAATTGGCCGAACCCCCTCCTTCTTGGGTACCGTGAACAGATTGGAGTAAAACCCCTGGAAGCGTTCCGAGGACGGAACTGGTACAACAACCCCCTGAGACAAGAGGTCCGCCACAGCGCGATGCATATCCGCCAGGCGTGAAGGGGAAAGACGCGTGTTGGACGGGAAAAACCTGTGACCCGGCCGAGAAAGAAAGTCGACCTTGTAAGCTGTGGACACCAGCTCCCGAACCCAGGTGTCGGAGACGTGAGCCACCCAGAAGTCCGCAAAGAGCCGAAGGCGCCCCCCCACCCCCGGGTCGGGGCGAGACCTTCATGCGGACGGGGTCTTGTCAGCAGGCTTGGGCAGACTTCGGCTACCAGGGACGCGTGTGAGACTGCGAGGAAGAGGCTCTTGGAAACTTACCGCCCTTCTCGGAGGACGGAGGGGGCCGAAAAAGCCGTTTGTGAGCGGAAAAGGAAGGCCCCGTCTTCCGCCGAAGCTCCTTAGTTGGTTTTTGCACATATTATTTGTTTACTTTTTGGGCTTCAAATATTTGAATGAAGTTAAAATGAAATGCCAGACATAATTATTTTCTTTTTGCTTTGGCGACTGGGGAAAAAGTCTTTAGTCACAAGAATATAAAACAGGAGGATCGTCCTGCTCCCTGTCTGATCATTATCAGCAGGAAAAAAAAGCTTTTGGCTGGAGTTGTATTTTAGCAAGCATCTGCCACTGTGGGCTCTACTGGCTGTCTAGGCAGGTAGATAGGGAAACTTTTATTAGTAAATGTAGTACAGGACTGGACCGGCTTTGCCATTTAGTCAATGGTTTTTCCTGAACCATTGTCAAACAACCCAATATTAAAAAAATAAAGAAAACAATAAATACCTTTGGCAGGTTATAAATGTGCTTCTGGTAGACCAGCTCAAAATGTGGAGGATTAATGCTGCTTTGATGGATGCAAAACACATTTTCATTTGAGGTATCTGATGAGGTAACAACAACATGAAAGCTCATAAATGACCAATTTTCTGATTTATGACAAATAGGACTTGAAGGGCAAATTTTGTTTAAAATGGCTGAAGAAAAATATAAAGTGGATCAACCTCATAACCAACCAGTTGCAGTTTGTTTTAATTCCTGGGCCTCACAGCAATCTACAAATAGTGTAAGAATATGTTCCTGGCTTAGTAAACACAGGGTTTAATTAGGCTGTACCAAACTTAGAATAGCCAAACACAGCCACTTCCTACCCTGATCTGAAACCCAGGCCACGTAGGGGTAATCCAAGAAGGCAATTATAGGGTCTTTCAACTTCAGAAACTTTTGTTGCATACAAAAGTTCTCCAACTCGCTAAAAAAGCTGTGTGTGACTTGGTATGAAGGAAATTTTAGCATATTGTGCTGTTATCCACCAGGCTTTCCCTTTATTTTCACCTAGTAATCCTGTAAATACCACTTCATATACCTGTGTGGCTGCACCACTCCTACACTATATCCATAGGGAGAGCCACCTAAGCTGAACTTCTGAATGTTCTTAGCCGGGAAAATGAGAACTAATGCAGCCACATATAAGGACTGGTAAGCTGCAATATGTTACATTTCTGGGTTTAGTTATACCCAAATGGTCTTCTACTCATTTTGCACATAGGGAGTATAATCCTTGCGTCTCCCCCAAAAAAAAGAAATCAAGCTGAAGATTTTTTTTTTTACGGAGCGGATAGTGAGAGCAGTTGAAAGCCACTTTACAAAGAAGCAGACGCTTATTTACAGGGCAAATCCACTTCTCCCAGGCGAATTTGGGAAATTAAACTCACCACTGTGCCACCTCTCTCATGAAAACGCTCCCTAGCCGCCTATCCACCCCCCACCCGCCAACAAACGCTCCTTCCCTTCTGTGGCTGCTGGTGTGAGACCCATACACATCAGCCCGGCCCTGAGCCTTGCATTTCAAATTACTCGCAAATGGTGAGTACTCATTTGTTAGCGCGGTCACTTAAGTAGAAGCGCTTCTTGCATTGTATTTACTCAATATAGAAAGCCTTCAAGTAATTGTATTGAGCAGATACAATGTATTTACTCCACACAATTATTGCAGGCCACCTAGAAGTGTACTTTGACATAGTAGCTGGGAAGGGGGGCAACAGCAGAGTGAAAGGAGCAAGGCATAGAAGATGGAAACATTGTTGAAGTTTTTAGGGTCCCAAGTGCTTAAAATTGTATAGCCATTGGAATGCACAAGGCATACCCTCTTATTTCAAACATGACTGACCCTCTTTTTTTTTTTACACAGTTCAGTAAAATGAAATGCTCATACCTGGTTTATCAGGTGTCTGCACAAAGTGCTGTGAGGTAAAAGTTTTTCCATTAGGATACTTAGGGTGCGCAGGTAGGCGAGAGTCAAAATATGTGCAGAAGACATGTATTAGTATCTGAAAATGGGGAAAAGAAGCTAAGGGTCATTAAAAAACATTCTTTAAACATGTCACATATTAAAAGGCATTCATTACAACAGAGAAAAATATGAAAAGGTTGAAATACGTTGACAATTGGCCTCACCGAGAGACGCTGGTTATTCAGTCAAACGGTAAACTTCAGACATTGCCATATAAAGAACACTGCATCAGCTTTCAGATATTTACACACAAAAAATCCTACGTCCATGAAACCCAGATTACAAAAGAAAATTTAAATCAAAACTACAGAACATACTGCAGAGTCTGTGGGAAGGTCAGTATCCCATTTGCGACCTTTAAACTCGCCTCCTCCATTCCATCGGAAAAAGCTCATGCACCCTCCTTGGGAAAGGTCTGGAAAACAAAATATCCACTTATAAATATATTGCGATACCTTCTTTTTCTTTTGGGAAATATAAAAACTATTTAAAAGGAAAACCTTTGCCGTTTTGAATAAAAAACCCGTCAGGTTTTTGTTTTTTTTTGCTGACTGGGTCGATTTTCCTGCACTTCCTGTCATGTCACAATAGGAAGCAAGATAAAATCTCTCACAAGGAATGGAAATCCTCTTAGACAGCATGCTCAGCTGACCGAAGTGCAGCCGGTGTACGTCTGATTTCAGCCGGTGTACTCCTAAAAACAGCCGTACTGTGCCGTAGTGAATAGCCGAACGTTGTTCGGCTCACTTCACTACAGCTCAGTTATTCACTCGGCTGCCTTCGGCAGCTTTGTGAATAACCCCATTAAGGTCACATTTAAAAAAAGTACAGGGCTGGAAAAAAGCCTTGATTTCACTTGTTAATAACTTTCCAAATGTATACTAGCTGTCACTAGAACAAGTGTCCACATTAAAAGACTACCCTTTTATTTCTGTTCCAGCAGAAATGTGAAATAAGTCATTTTCTCCTAATTTCAGTCCTTCTGATAATGGTTATCAGAACCAATAGAAGGGTGAATCTCCCCACTGGGGGCACAGACAGCAATGAAAACCTGGCAGATTCTGACCCTCCCTACTATATTCAAAAACATAATGTACATTGTAAAGCAAGCTAATAAACTCAACTGCCTCACTAGAAATACCATAATTTCTAAAAAAAATGCATAATAATACAACCAATAGTTTTACCTTTAATGCGCTCAAATAGGTATTCCTGATTCGGGGTGATGTCCAGATACTGCACAATGGCGTTCAGTGTTGGAATAAGAGAGGCTTTCACCAGAGCTGCTTGTTTTAAACTGGTAATGCTTGATTCTGAAAGAATTAAAAAAATATATTATATATTATACACACGGTATCAATTTGCTTATTCACTGGCTTGATAAGGAGCTAAGAGATCCAAACTGTTGCCATTTCACTTGTATTGGGGAGTTTTCAATAAGTCTCACAGTGGTGCCGCAATCCTTTTAGATTTTGAACATAATGGACCACTCCTGTATTGAAGAAAACCCAAAGGCTTTGCAATGTGCACGGTTCATGCCATTATATACAAAATATATTTCCCCCCTTACCACCATGACATAGTATTGCCAGTATAATTACCTAATCTCGGTCTTTATATTTGCTTCCCATCATCCCTTTGACACTAGAACTCAGAACAGGCGCTACAACAATGCAGGCTAATGAAGTTCCACATGATTCAGGCCCAGGGGACTAGACACAGACCTCCACAAAAGGAGGGCACAAGGATGGCGTTTTGATGATCTTTTACAATCTAGTATGCAGGCTGCACGTTAGGAGCAGCAGAACAGAAGGCTTTGAATCCTTCTTTTGCTATATAATGTGCTGGGAGTGTATCAATTAGAAAAGTTGTTGGAGTGAAAATATTTTCACAGGTATAAAAGTTTATAAACAGATATAAATATCAGTTCTATACGCGATTCTTTAAATGGAGTTAAACTCGGAAGATGGGGGGTAACGTGTTATTTTGTGTGTATTTTATTAATTTCTTTCCAGAATGGGTTGAGGAATGTGTAATAGTGGCAATTACATTCACTTCCATGCCCCTAATCCAAAGATCCAGTAACACACCTAGCAGCCAGGTTCTATTCTGTTATGCCAGAGAATCCTGAAAAACCTGCTATTGTTCTGACAAATATATAAATGATGCATGCAACTCAAAAGACTGAATCAGGGGTGCAGAGATGGTAATCACCACCACTGCAAGCACCTTAAAACAATGTACAGATCTGATGCTACTTCATAAGTCCTGCTCTAGGATTTTAATTTAATGTTTCTTACCCATATACAAAGTAAAATAAACAAATAAAAATGTTCACACAGGTTACATAAGATTACCTCCTATTTGTAATTCAGGACACCCAAGCCTTCTCATCTGCAGGTTCACCAACTCCATCTCACGGACCAAAGGTACCAGAATAGTTTCGCTCATCCACTGAAAAAAAATAAAAAATTTGTATGGAAACAGAGCTAAATAATATATAACCATTAAATCATAAATGCACATATAAGGCAGCAACATACATTACGGAATTTCTCTGTCCATGAATCCATATGTTCCAGCAGCTGTCGATTCATTGTAACTCTTGCCCAGATCTGTAGTGAAATAAGAGTATGTGTATACATGTCCATGATGTATAGATCCATGCAAATTTAAAAAACCTCAGCAATTATCAAACTGATCAGCAAAGAGGACTTTTCAAATCTGCTTCTAGGCTGGTAATCATGCAGCATGAGCAATTTCCATGCAAGGACTGAACTGGGGAATATTGTTTTCATAATGGCCCAACAATACACTGCTTGTATTAGTTTTAAATGGCTAGAGCAGTTGACATTTTTATGTGTGCTGCAGGTGTATACACCAGCATATTTTTTAGCTGCAGTATTGCTGTCTGGCCTTTTTATTAGGGATGCACCAATATATCGGCCAAAAGAGCAATTTTTTTTGCCGAAAAAGCGGTGCATCCGTTTTTTCTCTCCTCCCCACTGGGCGCTACTCTGTGTCCCAGCAGAGAGGAGAGAAACTGTCACAGGTGGCCAAGCGCTGCGGGAGGAGAGCGATGCGAGCGGCCGGCGTCTCTCCTCCCCGCACTGCCTCGTGCCACAGATCAAGAGAGTGGCAGTGTTGGCGGAGACAGCTTTTAAAAAGGAAAATATCAGGGGTCTAATATTTCCCCCAAACCCCTAAAAGTAAAGTAAAAAATATTTTAAAAGTTTATAAAAATAAAATATAATCTGAAAAAAAAAAAAAACCACAAAACATTTTTGGTTTCAGCGCGACATTTTTTTTTTCATTTCAGTTTGGACATTTTTTTCATTTCGGTGCACCTCTACATTTTATGTATATAAAAAGGTAGGGATGCACCGATACCGGTATTTTGGTACCGATAATTTTTTTTCGGTACTCGCCGATACCAATTACCGAGTAACGGAAGTCTCATTCAGGAAGCCAGGTGGCGTGTAATGACTCGCCACCTGGCTTCCTGATTAGCCGGGAAGCATGTAAAGAGTCGCCACCCGCTTTCCCGATTACCAAGAAAGTCCCCTCTTACCTTAGTATGTGCAGCCTGTCACCCCCGGGGGCCTCAGCAGCGAGAATGCGGCCCCAGCCGGAGCCGTCCAATCGGGAAGCCGGACGGCGTGTAATGACGCAACGCCCTGCTTTCTGATTGGCCGGCTCCATGCTTTCTTGTCATGAGATGACGAGGGAGCATGAAGCCAGCTTCCCGGCCAATCAGAAAGCAGGGTGTTGCGTCATTAGACGGCTCCGGCTGGGTACCGGACGAAGGCCGCATTCTCGTTGGAGAGGCTGCACATACTAAGGTAAGCTCAACTCACGAGGCCAGCTTCCCGACCAATCAGGAAGCCAGGCAGCTCGTCATTACACGCTGCCCGGCTTCCTGATTGGCCAGGAAGCTCGTCATTACACGCTGCCCGGCTTCCTGATTGGCCAGGAAGTCGGCTCCATGCTCTCTCATCGAAAGTGATGAGAGCATGGAGCCGCTTCCTGGTCAATCGCGAAACCGGGCAGCGTGTAATGACGCGCTGCCCGGCTTCCTGATATCGGAAGTACTCGTGCTAGGCATCGGAGCATTTGGGCGAGTACGAGTACTTGCCCAAATACTCGGTGCATCCCTAATATAAGGTAAAAGGTAGAAGAGGGCAACTCTCCGGTAACATTGCTCTCTATTTTCTGCCTATGTATGTCCCACTAGAAGTATCTTGACAGGTTACCAGCAGACAGTTCAGATCCTGTACGCCAGGTCCAATCTGGTAGGGATCTATACTAAAAAATTATTTGCTCCGATCCCTTTGTTAATTAGGTGCAGATCTGGCAACAGTTTCTATTTCACTCTGAAATAAATGGATCTGAAACAGGTCTACCGATTTTGTTGTGCACGCCGCTCACTGCAATTTTCTAAACTGTTAAAATGGAGGAGGAAGCTTTGTTAATCCCCTCAATGTATTTGCACACGCAACTGCAAGTAGATAGATGGCTACGTGTAAAAATTATGTGTAGCACAATGGGTCATAAAGGGCTGAGTATAGATAAATGCTGCATGTGGAAGCCAAGATAAGCTGTTCAAAAGGCAAAAGGATGATGCGTATCATCTTAACATGCAGCCATCCCTCTACTTGAAGTTGCCTGTGCATTGCATTACATTACATATTTGAATCTTAAAGTCATTTAGATAAACAAATAGTTGACCTATCCTTGGGCTCTTTACTCCCTAACGATCTCCCCACAGACCTTTATCGGGTTGTTGAACAGAAAGGACAATTAAATAAAAAAAAATGGCACAGCTGCACAGGGCATACACATCCTAAAGATTGTGTTCTTTAGACCAGAGGAAATCACCCAGGAGGATACAATTCTACAGTAAAAGATGTCATCAATAGAGCTTTATTTCCTACTATACCTCTTCCGCTGCCTGCTTAGAACCAAGATCAGCTTCATCTTTATGTGCGGAAGGAGCCTGGGACCGGCATGCCAACTGGTACTGGTACTTCCTCAGCGTGTGTGCATAATCACCCATAGAGCGGCTATAATTCCAAAATGTTGGGCTGTTCGAAGGACTATTAGATTCCGGGCTTCCTGTATCCATGTAAGCATTTATAAACAGAGAGTGAAAAGTCTAACTTTATAGAATAGCTTTGTTCATATGTACAGGAAAGTGAAACAAAAAAAAAACACAATGTATGACGTTTGAGGTGTGTTGTGAGACTTAAAGTGTCACTAATGTCAGAAAACAAAAAAAGTGTCATATTTGCTTAAATGCCATTTTTACCTCTCTCGCCTTGTATATTTAAATATCTACGTCAATTTAATTCCTATAAATACCTTTGAACAGATGCAGACAACCACACATTCATTTACATTTTATTCCACCTTCTTAATATCTCCCATTGTTCCCACATGTAAAAGTGCTGTGCTCCAAAACTAGTACACTGTTTTCTTACACTACTCCCTCGCAGCTTGGGCAGGGATGTCCTGCCACATCCCTGCCCAAGCTGCTACTCAGAAAAGGCAGAGAGATGCTGTGTTTTTAAAAGTATGAAATATTTGGGAGCATAACAACAAAAAATAGGGTCGTCCCGATACAATTTTTTCAAGACCAGTATGATATATAGCCTCGGGTACTCGCCGATACCAATTACCGATACTTTTTCTTTAAGGGGCATGTGACATTATTTCTAAAATAATACAGATTCATGATTTTAGGGCAGTTTCTTTATAATTATGAAGAACTGTAACTCTATCCATATTATTCAGCAATGGAGAATGACAACCAGCAATAGAGGACTGCAGATCCCATCAACCCATGATTATACAGCAATGGAGAATGGCAACCGGCTATTGGAGGAGCACTCTTGCATAATTTGAACCCGATGAATCCTGGAATATGCCATGTCATCAGGGAAGAAAAGAAATCCATTGATAGAAAACTTGGTCATTCAATATATTGAGGTATGCAGCTGACCACATTTTTGGCCTCATAACGTTGCGAAACCTAGACCTGACCGACTGAAGCAACCCCTATAGCTCTTACCCATTTGAAGAACTAAATCCAGGTGGTGTGGTTTTTGTTTTTTTTGGGCCAGGCAGTGTATTTAAAACAAAAATTGCCAAAACTGCAGGTATCAAAAAGGAAAACTTAATGCTCATTACAAATAGATACAACATATGGTTTATATTTGATAAACATTATTTTTGTAATCTGTTATTAAAAATTACTTAGATAACCGGCTGAGTCACCCAATTGGCAGGAACGAAAGGTTACTTAAAACGAGAATTATGGGGGAGTGAAAAACACACTGAAGCTGTCACAGGTTGGCTCTATTGATCGGGAAGTCAACAAACACATGCCACCGATTGCTGACTTCCCGATCCTCCCCTCGTTTCTCCAACACTGACTGGAGGAACAGACAGGGGAGGGGGGCGGGCAGAACCTGCTGTCATGTCAATCAGCCAGCAGGGTGGCTCTCGACAGTATTGTCGGGATCCGTCCCAGCTGGGGCACAGCTCTGCGCTCTCAGCGTATAGCGGGCAAATGCAGAGTTTTGGGTCACCAGAGGACATTAGTATATGTCCTCCCGTGACCCCGAAGAGAGAACTATGGCCAAAAAGGTTGCCCCATAGTTCTCCTTTAGGGCATGGCTTAATACACACCTCTGCGTTACCTCCTTGACAGCATGGGTGAAACAAAGCCCGAATACTCTTCTGCATCTGGCAGCTTTGCAGACTTGGCATCATTCTGAAGCCAGTTTTAAAATTAGTGGTCTTTGCACCAGATGTAGTTATGCATTTATCTAACAAGCACAATAAAGCTTCATACCTAGTTGGGAACGGTGCTGCTTTTCCTCTTCACTGCGAAGAAAAGCGTCCAATACCTTGGGGTCTGTTATGTAGTCCTCTGGGTCTGTTAGAGAATTGTAGGATGATGGTGAGCACCGGTAGCGAGATCTTAATCCACTGCTTTCCACTGGACCAAGAGTACTAAGATACTGTGGTGATGCCGAAGGAGGACTATAACTCTGTATCTGGAAGCAAAATAAAAGTATATAAATTAAATTATATTTCCTTCGCTCAGACTGAAGACATACCTCCAGCCTTAAGGTTTAGTAACTATTTCAAGAGTATACTTAAAAAATAAAATAAAAATCTAGCACAAAAATTGCCTTCTGTAAAGCTCAACACTGGACAAATGTGGACCCCTTAAAATATACCACCCCCTAAACATCTGCCCTCCACCTGCAATATGTCTTCTGTAGGAGTAGCTACAGCTCGCGGTATACTGAGACGCCGCAGCTGAAGCGGATCCCGACAATTATGTCTGGATCCACCCAGCTGCGTGAGCGACAGCTGGCTCTGCCTATCTGGAGGCAGAGCCAGCTGTACCCGTCCCCTCCCCCGTCCGTTCCGCCAGTCAGCACTGGAGGATTGGAGCGGGGAATCCAGCCCCTCCCCTGTCACGGCAGAGAGCCGTGACAGGATCGAGAAGTGAGCGAATGCCGGTACGTGTTCACTCACTTTCCGATCTACTCAGCCGACCTGTGACAGTCTCATTGTCACAGGTCGGCTAGAACTATGACGGGAGTGAAAAGCACTCACCTCATAGTTCTCCTTAAGTATTAAGGCAAGTATTAGTAGAGCTGAGACATAACCACCTTAAAGGACAAAACCAATAAAACATTTTTATCTAAAAACAATGTATATGTACAACCAATTATCAATTTATTAGAAACCCTACAATCCTACTGGAAAGGGCCTCCCTTTGCTCTCAAAACAGCTTAATTCTAAGTGGCATGGATTCAACTTTATGCAAATATTAAATTAGGATTCTGGATTCATGTTTACAAAAGTGCATCACACAATTTCTGCAGCTTTGACAGCTGCACATTCATGCTATGAATGTTTTTACCCCATCCTAAAAATGTTCTATTGGATTCTGATCATAGGATTGGGAAAGCCACTTAAGAACTCGTTGCTCAGTTCATGAAACCAGTTTCAGAGGACTTTCGCTTTGTCTTTACAACAGTCTAGTTTTGGTGAGCCAGTGCCCTCTGCAGTCTCAGCTTTCTGTCCTCCGCTGACAGGAGCGGATCCTCATGTGACCTCCTGCTGTATTAGCCCATTCGCCCCAAAGTTTGAAGTGCATTCCAATTTTGTGTTAATCATACTTGTAATGTGTTGTTAATCAAATTGCTATAGCCTGTCAAGCTCAAACCAGAGTAGACATTTTCCTTTGACCTCTCCCATCAACAAGGCATTTTTAGAACGGACACTCAATGAAAGTTTTTTCACCATTCAGCATACACTCTACAGAAAGTGGTACATAAAAATCCAAGGAGATCAAGAGTTACAGAATTATAGCCCACCTGCCACCAACAAGCATGCCATTGTGAAAAATGGCAGAGATTACATAGATTCTAGTGGGTGAGGTGAACATTAAGTTCCTGACCAATATCTGCATGATTTGACCTAATTGGTGGATTAGATAATTGCATAAATAAGATAAATAGGTGTTCCTAACAAATTGCTCAGTATGTAGATATACAACTAACACAAACATAAAAGAACTTCATGGATAGATTTAATATAAATTTACATCCTACCTTAGAGTAACTGCTATTCGGTGTGTATGGCACAGATGAAGTAAAAGAGCTACTGCTACTTGACAGAGCATTTTGTATCTGAGGACTGTAACCACCAATGAAACTGGAGGAAAACTTGGGACTTGTGCTGGGTGACCGCGAAGGGCTATAGCTCAGTACACTTTGTCCTTGCATGCCTGCGTAAGGTGGGGGTGTTGGCGTTGTATTTTTTGTCAGTTCCTTCGGCGGGCTGGAATGCACAACTGCAAAATAGATTGCAACATATTCATTTCAAATGATAGCTAAAAAACAAGCATCTATACTCAAAGAAAATGGGGAAGCAAGCGAATCTGACCTGGCCCAATGCTGTATATGTTTCTAAGGTAACCACAGACAACCTTGTGGTATCTGCAAATGCCTCTATTAAGTCTCACACTGTATGTGGGCTTCTTACAAATTTGAGATTAAGCTCATTCTACTACCAATCAAATGCCAGGGATTCCAATTGCTAGTAAAGCTCAGGCACAAAGAAGCTGATTGACAGAGGGCAGGGACAAGAATCAGGAGTGACATGGCTTACACACTAATTCTACATCAGCAGAATTAACAACATTAAGTGTAAGTTTGGCCTTGGACTCAAAGGGTTCTACCATCTATCAAATAGCGATTTGAAGACTACAATAGGTACTTGCAGGGAAAAAAAAAACCCAAAATCATATACAACACCATGGTGTCCGCTTGCCCCCCCCTCCTAACTTGTCTTGTAGACCCCCCACACAGATACCAGATGCAGTGCAGATCCGCTTCCCATTGCCTGGCTCTCTGCAATGCTGGACAGCGTTAACATCCATTTATCCGTCATTCTCCTGTGTTTCTGTAGTGCACAACAGCAAGTTCTAAAGAGATGAATGGGACAGTTGTCTCGGCTCTCCCATTCATCTCTATTGCGCTTGTAGTCCAGCCAGCAAGCCAGCCAGTGGAAAACAGGTCCACAAAGCATCTGAAGTCTGTGTGGGAACATACAAGGTAGAAATGGAGGCAGGGGCATCCCCCCAGAAATGAATTAAATGATGCTTTAACGTTTTAGTATTTTTAATGTATGCAGACACTGCATACATTAGACACCAACACTGCAAGGCTCGAGGAGAGAAGTATACAGTTCCACTTTAAATAAAGCTGTTTAATCATGTATTTTGTTTATCAAAAGGCAATGTTCTGTAAAAGAATAAAAAAGGAACCTTAGAAGCAAAGTACCACACAGTAAGCACTGACACAATTTCATATATTATATATATATATATATTTTTTTTTATTTCTCTCCATCTATCACTAGAACAAGGCAACTATCCTCAGAAAACATAGATATGTGTAAAGCAAAGACTTACATGACTTTGGTATCCCCAGAAGCTTCTGCTGGGAAGGGCTCAAAGCAATGTATGAAGACGAAACTGTGTATTTGAAGTACCTCCAAAATTCAAATAATGCGTTCACACTAAACAGTAAAGCAAGTGCTAGTTCTGGTGAAAGAAAACACACAGTTGAAAAGTCAGCGATAGACAGATGACACTAAAAGGTTAACAGTAAACAACTGCATATACACCATGCCAGAAAACTCCCAAAACACATACTTGAGCTGTACAAGGACTAACTTTTATAAAATGTTGAGCTACAGTAAGGCTACATGGTATGCTCTGGCACATTCTGGTGCCTAAAATACATCAATGCTGTTAGTGTCCAACATTTTGCCAAAGTCAGCCTGTCACACCCCTGCGCAACTCAGACTGAGCATATAATGAAAAATGCACATTACTTTCAAGTGAATCTAGCACTGTATGTAAAGAGCATGCATGCTAATTAATGTGTAAGTGTAATGCTTACAAATACCGAAATGAACATTTTAAAACCGAAACAAACAGACCCCCGATATTTCCCTTTTAAAATAAAAGAGATTGGGAACACAGAGTCCTCAATCTCTTTTTCTGTATCCCCTGTTATAAATGAACAGGAATCCTCTATAGTGAGTGTTCCTGTTCATTCATAAACATTAGAACAGAGTATGTTTACTATAACCACAATCATAATTGAACAGGAGGTGGCTCCCATTAATTCATATTGAGAATATAGTACACATACTCTGTCTTCAATTATTTACAAACACTCAGCGATCACTGAGTGTTTGCACCCGCTCTCCATCCTGACAGCTGTCACAGGAGGCTGAGCTGACTCCGCCCACGCACCGCCAGCCTTCTGTGACAGTGCTGGCTGTCTTCGCCCCCACACACCGCTCTCCTCTGATCTGTCACAGGAGGCTGAGAGGTGCGCGGAGGAGAAACGCCGGTCGTTCACAGCGCTCTCCTCCTGCTGCACTCGGCCCCTGTGACAGTATCTCTCCTCCTTACTGGGACACAGAGCAGCACCCAGCGTGGAGGAGAGAATACATGGATGCGCCGCTATAATCGGCAGATAAATAGCACTTTCGGCATTTTGCCAAAAGTGCCATTTTCGGCCGATATGTTTCGGTGGGCGATATATCAGTGCATCCCTACAGATTACCTTCCAGAATTTCCACGACAATCCCTTCATCTGATTTTCTCTCCAGAAGGATGGAGCCATCTTTGCTCAGGAATGTTATGGGGTTAGCATAAATCCCTGTAATGTAAAACCTAGAGTCTACAGTTCTTGGCTGTAATCACAATGTCTGACATAGATCAGCCCCTGGCTACAGTAACAGTGCTGCAGTTAGACCAGAGGGAGAGAAGACTGAGTAAATACCTCCTCCTGCCTGCAGGAGATGGATGATCATAATAACCTAGGCAAAGTCAAAAAAGGACTGATTTTTGTTGATAAAAGCTTTCTTTAAAACATTTTATGACTGCTGTAGATTGTGATATTTCAGGAATTCATGCATACCTTCAACATTACTGAAAAGTCCAATTTCATTGAAAGCTGCACCTTAAATCCAGATATAGATGACTGCATTATATACCTTTCCAGTAAACGTTGTTGCCAAGATTGACATTTACAGGCAAGGATGAGATTTGCACACAACTTAAGCTGTCTGTAGTTCTGGATCCGGTGCCCATTTGACATGTTTCACCAAAGCCAACCCCTGGTTATGCTTTTTCTCATCATAGGCCCAGTAAGAATCTCCCAGATTTGTGACATGTTTAATGTATTTACAAAAGAATAGCTCAAAAACATTTTAGTTCAAACTAAATATTGGAAAATATAAATGAGGCACTCTGCTTGGTTTCAGGCTCATAGGCAGTGTACATCATAGGCATATTTAGGACAAGCAGGGTAAATGCACCTACAGAGGTACTGCTGGGAGACAGACATACAAGGCTAATGTTTATTGGGCATTCAGTTACATGACCAAAATTGCCCATGACTGCATGCAAATTTATGACGTGCCCATATGTCACTCCCAACAGGAAAAATTACCTGTAAAAAAAAAATTAAATTAAAAGAAGCATTGCTATCATTCACGAGAAAGGATTCCTAGAGGACCGAGTTATTTAACAATCGGCCACAGGAGCAGAGGTCTCCTTTCTGACATATTCCTCATTAAATTCACAAACAGATCTGTAAGGAGAATGACTTACTGCCCTGACTAACTTACTTGTGTTTGTGAATTCCAGCTTCAGCTGCTGAGGTCTCTAAACAGGCGTCTAAGCTTGCTGTCTGTATACATATTATTCATAGTCATTTTTCATATTCACCTTATTTAAAAATATAATTTTTTTTATTTTAGCCCTGACCAGAATACAATGTATAGAAAACCAATATATGGTTCCCTTTAAAATGATAAAGTTCCCTGTGAAACAAAATCCTGTTTCATTAAACGGAAGTTCCTTACAGAAATTACCGTGAAAAAAAATAATGTTTTTTTTAAAGTCTTAAAAGCTATACAAATAACTTACCAAAATACCAAAATGGCCAGTCTGGAATATTAAAATATGTTCCAACAGTTTTACCAGTCCTTAAGAAATTCAGAAAAGGAAAAGTCATAACATGGCAAACAATTGATTTCGGTTTAAACACTTCAGGAAAGGACGACAAAACTACAGCACAAGTCTAAAGAGCAGGCAGCCATAAATAGACACATTTGAGGTTATGTCTTGAGTTACATGTGATTGCTGCATATACTGGTGACCACCACCAGTCATCAACACAGGACACTTTAATGTAGAAAGTGCCACTGCAATCCCTGTGCTCTATTTGCAGGGCAGTAATGTATAGGCAGCAGTGCACTGGCATCGCATTGTGTGTGTGCACAGATATTTTATTTTTCTTTAAAGATGCTTTTTATTGAATTTATTTGATAGAAAGAGAACTATGGGGTAAGTGTTTTTCCCCATAGCTCTCTTAAGGGTCACGGGAAGACGTATACTAGCATCCTCCCGTGACCCAAAGCTCGGTATATCGCGAGCTACAGCTCACAGTATACCGAGACGGATCCCAACAATGCTGTCGAGATCCACCCAGCTGCACGAGTGACAGCTGGCTCCGCCTATCTAGAGGCAGAGCCAGCTGTGCCCACCCCCTCCCCGTCTGTTCCTCCAGTCGGAGCTGGAGGATCGGAGCGGCGAGGGAGTGAATCCCTGCAGAGAGCAGTGACTGACAAGTCACCGCTCTCTGCAGGGAGATGATCGAGAAGTGAGCGAGCGACAGTATGTGTTCGCTCACTTCCCGATCTATTGAGGCGACGCGCGACAGTTTCATTGTCACACGTCAGCTCGAACTATGAGCAGGAGTCATTTTCACTCACCTCATAGTGCTCCTTTAACCAAACATTCCTATTAGTGCTTATTGTCTCAAATACAATAGAATCCGAAATTAAAGTAAGACAATGTCTCAGATACAAGCAAGAAAGGACCAGGAGAAGGTGCAATAGCATACCGACACCATTTCCAGAGAGAAATCAAGAAAGATCAACAGTCGTATCAGTAGAAGACAACCATGGACCCCATATACGTGCAAAGCACAGTGGGTTGCCCCTTTGTTCATACGTGATCTTATAGAGAGGCAAGTGGTCAAATATGCCCTTCCAGCAACTCAGGGAAGGAGCCTCAGGACTACTCCATACCAGAAGAATGGATTTCTTGGCATAAAACAGGAGAACGCGAAGCCGACTCTGAGCCCCAGAGTCCAATGCAAGCTCTCCAAATAGCCTAAAGAGGCAAAAGGAGGGATTGCATGGTGTGCACAGATATTTATTTGATCATGGAGGATTGGTTTTAGTTGCCCCTATTGGTAGAAAAGGGAGGCATCTATTTTTTCATCCAGTATGTTGGCAGTTAAGGTTGTTTACCGTCAAAATTAAGTTCAGAGACCAAAAGTCTACCTGCACCAGTGCTTAAAGCTGGCCGCACACCTTACAACCATCGCAAGACTTTCATCCTGCGATGGTTGTAAGGTAATTAAAAAAACTTACAATCTGCCCATCTTGGACAGGCAGTTTGTACTTGCGATAATCGCAAGCCCGCCCCGCTGAGGGGCGGGCTTCCGATGACCGCAATGCTGAACGGGCAGTGTGCACTTGCTCACACTGGCACCTGCGGCATTTATCTTACGAGCATACCACACACCCGCCGGGAATCGTCAGATTCTCGACGGGTTTTCAAACATGTTCCTAAGACAAAAGTCGCGCGACCATACAGTAGAAACGGTCGCACGCCTTCCAAACACCTTGCGATAATCGTATGATCGGGGGATTTCCCGCGAATATCGTTTGATTATTGCAAGGTTTGTGGGCACCTTTAGAGGTGCAGCATAAAGGTGACATAATAGGCAGGTGATGGGTCAGTGAGCTTTGTGGCATTCAGGAGTAGAAGGAAGGACATTTTAATGGAAACAATGATGAAAGAATCTAGGACAGGAGCGCTTCCTAGGTACAACCCTTCACATAACATCCAGGTCATGTTCCAGGGAAAACCCTTTAATACATTAATAATAATTAATGTTATAAATAATAATAGGGGACTGACCATTATATACTTGCTTTGTTACATACTATATACCTATAACCTTCCCTCCCCATTTATATGTCCTTTAATACATTAATGGATTAAAAAGTGTAAGAAAAACTGCTTTTCTAATGCTTTTGAATCTAGCTGTGGCGTAGGCTCCCCTCACATTTGTAGTTTCACAACAGCAGCTAGGGGGGCCAGAGTTTGCCTACCCTGGATATAGGGGGATTTGTTACAGCAAGCCAGTATTTGTATATCAAAAATGTCTAGGGGTGGAATTTACTAAAACTGGAGCAGACAGAATCTGGAGCAGCTGTGCATGGAAACCAGTTAGCTTATACCTTCAGCTAAAAGCTGATTGGATTCCATAGGCAATTGCTCCAGATTCTGTCCCCTCCTAGTGTTTCGATAAATAGTATAGTGCTGATGTTATAAGGAAAACGGTATGCTGTAATACAAGATCTCCTTTATAATGAACACAATCTGTGGGCTGAATCACAATGTAGAAACAAACGAGTAGAATAGGAGCAGATGACAGGCAGTTCCAAAACACTGATTTATAAAGATATAGATATATATATAAAGCAGTAGTTTTCAACCTCTAACGTCAGGACCCATATTTGTCGCTGATCATTAAGTCGCAACCCAAGTGGCACCACACAGCACGGCAATAATGCGCGTTCCTGTGTGGGTGATTTAACTATGGGCAGGAAGTGCATTTGTGGCACCACTCAAATTAATGGCAACACACCTTCAGCACCAGAACGCAGGGTAGGTGCAATTGCATGGCACAGTGCCTTAAATGCACTGGACTGTACAATTACCACACTGTACTAGTGTGAACGGGCCCTGAAAAACACTGACAGACATACTGTACTAGTGTGAACGGGCCCTGAAAAACACTGACAGACATACTGTACTAGTGTGAGCGGGCCCTCAAAAACACTGACAGACATACTGTACTAGTGTGAGCGGGCCCTCAAAAACACTGACATTCTCACACACATACTCACTCCCAAAAATGTTAAGATCCACCCAGTCTCAACAAATTGCAAGAACTGGAGTGGATCCTCAGCCTGGGGTCCAGTGTGGGCTGTTGTGCGGTGATATATCTGTGTTTTGGAAATGTCTTCTATTCTAAGAAATGGACGGCAGCTATAATACTCACATCTCGGTGTAAATAATCCCTGCTAGAGACACATTCAGAAGAGCGCTGGCCAAGACAAACTTCCTGGCGTTTGCCTGTTTCCTCATCTTGATGGTGGTGTCAATAAATGACATGTTTAGATTTTGTTCCTCCGTCTTCATTCCTAGGTGAGATAAAAATGAATGTATATGGGTCTTTCCTAACCAGACTTCATACACAACCAAATACCCCCAGGCAGAACTACTCCCCCATAACACCCCCATTGCTTCCCATCGTGCCCATCCCACTTCTCATGATAGACCATACTACTACACCCTGAGAGGTGTGCTCATACGCTCTGCCCATACCCCAAGCTCATCTGGTACATCTAATGAATTCCTATCGTCCAATTTTCAGCCCACCATGTGAGCTGAGAACAATTAATGGGAATACATTCCATTCTATACTCGTGTTGTGTTACATTAACTCGTGACAGAGGCAGCCATGAGAAGAGATAGCGGTGAGCGCATATGATGACACGTTCACCCCAATATAACGCTGTACCGTAGAGTAAACGCACCGGTCACCGCCACACTGAACACAGGCACTCTCCTCCCGAATGTGGCGGGCTACGAACAGCCCATCAATCCACGCTACACCTCTCCAAGCATCTCTACACCCAATCACAGGACGACTGGAGTGACGTATCAATCACATGACCAATGCTGTAGGCGGGCTTTAGGCAGACTAGTGCGCAGGGCAGTGACGTCAGTTAGTAGTTCCGTGCTCTAACCTGTATGGCAAAGATGATTGGATGTTATTTGATAGTAGAAGTTCTGTCACCGCCCCTTCGTGTTACCATAACAGGTGACCACATGAGGCGGAGTCATAACTTAGCTGGTGGGTTGTATGAAGGAGAAGGTGCAACATGGATGAAGGGACATACCAGAACCAACTGAATGATGTCGCTTAAAGGCAGAGTCCAGCTTTTCCATAAATAAATACACATTAATAAAACAATGTGCTATTATTGTTTTATGTATTGAAGCCAGCAAAGCATGGCAACCATGATCATGCAGTGACATCAGAACTGTCAATGGACTACAAGTGCTGTGAAGAAGTGGCTGAAGGGGGGGTGGGGCGCAACAGAACAATTGCCCTTCTGAGAAAATTGCTGTCTGCTCTGCCAGGTTCGGGAGCTCGCAGCTGGCTGGGGCTGCCTGCGCACTTGGTTTAGCGCCTGTGTCACACCTAAGAGGAAAGGCAACGGCTGGGGGAATAGAGGGTGAGGGGTGGCATACATAGGGGTGCGCAAGCGAAGCTATAGCTGGTAGTGGTGCACACAGCCTCCTCTGTTCTGCTGGGAGGAAAGGTCTGTATCATCACTCTCTCCCAGCCTGCACTACGGCTCCTGGGCTTCTCGGTGTCACCTGGAGGAATCTGAGCATGATTGGGAATGTGAAGGCTGAGGCAGCTCCTGGATGTATGCTTGTATACCCCACTGATTTTCTCCTGAGAACATGGGGCGTCTGCACTGGCAGTCATTGGGGATGCTTGGTGCCACTCACTGCTTGTTGTGCCAACATAGTCCTTTGATGAGCACAGGGTGAAGCCTTTAGGAAAACAGTTTCAGCTAGGGATGCACCGATACTGGGCATTTTCAAGTACTCGTAATCATGAAAATGCCCTAATACCAAAAACCAATACTAGCATTTTTATTTGTCTTAGGTCCCCCGATTGCTGGGAATCTCACCACAGTCTTGAGAACCACACGACGCCTGTTTACAGAGCTTCTGCTGGCCTGCACATCTCCTCCTGAGACTATTCGCCCCACTCCTGAGACCCTCCACAATGCTCCTGAGACCTTCAACACCCCTCGTGAGACTCTCCTAGACATCAGACCGGCACCCCGGAGCAGAGCAGCATCAGAGAGTGTGTAGCAAATTCATATACTATTATTCTGCATTGCTGTATAATGTATTGCAAGGATTTGTAGCCCTCTATAGCTGATGGTATTCTATTTTTTTTTAAAACAAATACAAAAGAAAAGAAAACAAAAGTAAAAAGGAGGTGTACATTTGGAAAGCAATCGCCACATGTCAAACAATACAGAAGTATTATGTATACCTTATACCTCTCGCAACCCACAGCTGCTGGTGTAGCCCTAGCATTACATACATACAGAGTAGACCCCAGGAGATGGATACATATACAGACTGTTCACTCAGGCGCCGCCTGTCCACGGTAAGACAGCCACTTAGACCACATAGAAGTTAATTTATTCATATTACCTCTCTGCTGAAAAGTGACACGTTCATAGTCAACCATCCTATCCAGTTCACAAAGCCATAGCTCCAGTGGGGGGAGAGGAGGAGACCCATTTACGCACCACCAGCCTTGACGCAGTGAATAGGGCTCGTTTAATGGCCACAGTCGTATAGGAGGCTAAATCCGGGGCATCAATAATGCACAGAATGCAAACAAGTGGGGAATTAGTTAATGAGGATTTAAAAGCTGAATTAATGACATCCAAAACCTCATCCCAGTACCATACTAGCTTAGGGCATCTCCATAGTAAAAAAATTAAAGAGCCTCGGTGAGAATTGCACTTCGGGCAGTTAGGGTCAGCCCTGTACTCAATACGAAATAGAAATTCAGGTGTACGATATATTCTGTGGATAATGAAGGAGATAACTCCCTTAGTGTGCTCAGCTGAAAACACAGCATCCAAAAATTTTGGTAGGGGAAAATTTAGGAGGGCCAAGTTTAAACTGTGACCTTAGAGCGTGTTAGACCTGGAGGAACTGGAAGTGACATCTACGGGAAAGCCCAAATGTGGAGGACAAATATTCAAAGGTACACAATTCTCCATCGGGGTACAGCTGGGCGACGGACAGTACCCTGACACTCGTCCAATCAACTGTACCCCGCAGGGGAAGAAGTTCCGGGAGATTGCCATTCTGCCGCAGAGGGGTATAACTAGTTAGATGGGCAACCCCCAATGCTCGTTTGGCCGATGTCCAGACCTGTCCCATTAATCGTACGGTAGGGAGTGCAGAGTGTCTTTTGGTAGGGGTCTTCTGGATCACTATCCAGATAACACAGGGGATTTAGACCTTAGCTGATGGTATTCTACATTGCTGTATAATGTGTTGCTGGGATTAGTAGTCCTCTGTAGCTGATGTTATTACTCTGCATTGCTGTATAATGTATTGCTGGGATTTGTAGTCCTCTATAGCTGGTGCCAATCTGCATTGCTGTATAATGTATTACTGGGCGACGCCAGAAGTGTGAATGGTCTACAAATGCGGTGACGTGAGAAGTGTCAATGGGGTTGCTAGGCAACGGACAAACATGGTCGCATAAACCGGAGCAGCGCTTCGGTATCCTGAATCAAAGCTACTCACAGCTGATATAGGTATCTGATCGATCCCTCTTCACACCCGGCCGGGTGCGGACGTTGATCAGCATTATGTCCAGGGGCAAAAGTAAACAGAAAGGCCCCAGAAGACTGACAGACTTCTATCCCATGTCACCCTCATCCAGCAGACAAAATGGCACTGCTACGTCACGAGGGAAAACAGCCTTAGACACCCGCTCAGCTGACGGCTCTGACTCAGACATGGAGAAGAGCACTTCAGGCACACTTGTCCAGGGCAAGAAGCTTTCCAAACGGCCAGCCTCATCACCGCTGCACTCCCCACAATTCAAAGACCCTGTCAGTAAGAAACAGTCTACTACTTCCTCCTCTGTTTCACATGGCCCCACGGAAACTGTGCCTTCCCTGGATGAGCCCCCTGCATCCTACTACAATAACATACAAGATTGTCATGTCATACTTCTTTTTTTCCACCAGAGGGACCTCTCATCCAGTTCATGCTTTCACACTTATAGGATTCTATTACAGTGTTTTCCCTCATGATAATTGTATGTATAAGTTAAAGTGGACATTGCATGGGAAAACTGAGTATTCAAAGTCCCCCCAGAATTCATTTTAGCAAATTGCATGGTTAATACTGAGGAAACATTTTTTTTCCCCTCAAGGGCTACGTTTGTTACAGTGTCTGAAAGAAGGACTGTCTATATCAGTGGTTCTCAACCTTCCTAGGGCCGGGACCCCTTGGTAACATTTGCCAAGTTGTGGTGACCCCCAACGGTAAAATTTAGGGATGACGTGGCTGCTGCAGCGACATCTGGCGGCGTGGCGGGAGAACTGACACTGCTGCGCTAGGAGAGGGCAAACCATATAACACAAGCCGAGGGTGTCAGCTTTTATTATTAATAATAATGATAATAAAAGGTTTATGTTTTCTTTTAGAAAAAAATTACTATTATTTTTATTATTTATTATTAGAGGGGGTGACACCAAAATGACTGTCAGTCATATTGGTGTCACCACTTCCACTGGTGGCATCCGGGTGCGGGCTGCACCCCCTTGTGATGCCACTGAATGCTGGGATTTGTAGTTCCCTGTGTGATATGTGATGTGTGTGTGGCCCCCCGACGGCCCCTGGCAAATTGTCATTCGACCCCGAGGGGGTTCCGACCCACAGGTTGAGAACCGCTGGTCTATATTGTCTGTATCAACAAAATTAACTCTTTCATTGGTTATCTGCATTTGAGGTCCTGAAGGAAAGCATTGGGGGAATTTATAAATGGAGCAGACAGAATTTGGAGCAATTGCCCATAGTAACCAATCAGCTTCTCTCTTCACTTTGTTCAGTTATGTTTTGAAAATAAAAGAGATAATCTGATTGGTTACTATAGACAACTGCTCTAGATTCTGTCTTCATAGTCTTTTGTGATAGCTGTAATAAGCAGAGGATGAAGACGTAGCAATCGGCAATCAGGAAGAAACTATAGGACACAAATATCAGTGCAGTGAAAATAAATCTGGTTGTGATCACAAGGGAAAACTGTTTTTTTTATATCATGGATAGTTTGTATAGGTCTGGGTTGGATAAATGATTGAATAATTCTGGAGTGAGTTGGTAAAATCTAAGAGCCAGCAAAAACTTTAATGCTCCAATTAAATTCCAACACCTCTCATTTTATAGGTGCAAGTAAATGTAAATTATAGTATAAAACTTAACTGGGTTGTTAAAGTGACATTAAACCCTCAGATTTTTTAACATAAACCAATATTGTAATGTGTGCCTTACTGTAATCCATGGTAGTTTCCCTTCTCTTTGCTGCTCTTCCTTTTAAATCCTCATATCTTCTCTTGCTTGGGGAGAACTTCCCTTTGCAGCTGAGTGCCTCTTCCTGTAGTGCTGGCTCAGGTTGCAAACGTACACACAGACACCATATAGCCATTCCAGAGACAAGGCAGTCTGCTGCAAAACAGAAGTTTTGCCCAGCATGAGAACAGATACAGATTTAAAAGGAAGAGCAGCAAAGACAAGAGAAACTACCATGGATTACAGTAAGGCACACATTACACTATTGTTTTATGTTAAAAAATCTGAGGGTTTAATGTCACTTTAAATGAATCTTGATGGGATTTTCACAGGGTTATTCATAAAAGGGTGAAGAGTTTTAAGGAGGCATGAGAAGTGAACAATCTAGGACAAAATAGCTGAACTGACCAAACTCATCAAGGGGATGGAGGACCAGAACTATGAGACAAGGCTACTAAATTTAAATATGTTTACGTTGGAAGTAAGGAGATTAAGGGGAGACATGATTTTCATG